CTGAACACGTGTAGATGACTAACGAGTGTATTTCGCTCGACTCGAGGGTAGTGATGTTCGTATGTGCTTGTTGGCCAAGCCAGAACAGTACTTTTTCGTTTTCCCACCGTCGACGATGTTCGTAGAAGATATCGTTCGAAATCAGGAGTTCATCGCGAGATCGGAGTGATTTCGCCACCAGGATCAGGGCATTAGCCATTAAGGTCGTGACCGAAGTAGGAGGCAATATATTACGATATTCGGGTAGTTTAATGTAACGACACATGAACGAAACTGCACATCCGCACACAATCGATGCAACACGCCAAGAGACCTGGGCGAGCTTAAGCAAAAGGAAGCTTCGAAGTAGAACATCGATGTCAGATGCACTCGAGTGCATGGGAACATGGTGGTACGGCCAGACGGGTGCGGAGGAATGCGGAAGTTCCCGTTGGGGATTATGCCCCAGCTATCAAGTGGCCAGGTTTTCTACTTGGGTCAGTCGATTGGCGATTATATCTGTGTCGGAGTATTAAGCAGACCTATCAGCAGCGACGAAGTTACTTGCTATAGAGAGGGGATCAGCGACTCGAAATGAGCAGCGAGATTGATTTGATTGTATGAATCTTGATATGTTGATGTTGCCTAGGAAGGGAGTGCCTGCAGGCAGAGCGGAGGCGAACACGTTGCCGAGGCCATCGATCTCTTGAGTGTACAGACAGTCGGGAAATTAAATTTGGGAAGCAGAGACAAAAACACGGCGGAATTTAGTTGGCTGAGCGCGTGAGGGGACACTCACAGACTAAGGAAGACTGAGTCAGAGAGCTGGCAAGCACTGAGAACAGTGCTTAGGTAAGGTGGATTAGGCCACGGTGTCAACTCATCTTTCTCTCACCTTGTCCACCATCTGCTCATCCCCACAACAACGACGCGGCTAGACTCCCCTTCCCTTTGCACCTAATATCATGTTGGTGGACAATATCTTACACCACCCTTCCCCATCTCTCAACCCCAGTGACCTATCCGACTTTGTTAACCTGGACCTCTTTACCTCCCAGGGCTCCGCAACCTCCGACTCTCGTGATCCATCCCCGTCGGTGTCCACCCCTCTGTTTTCCCCTCTACCTGTCATATCCGAACCAAATTCTTCCGACTGGTTCAAATTTTCTCTCGATGATGACTTTGTCAAGCCCGACCCACCCGTTCCACCACCAGTAACAGCTGTCCCTTGGGACTTCCTCTCCTTTCCAAACGACGGCACTGATTCCGGGGGCGCGAATGCGAGCGGCGACATTTCCCCGACCTTCGCCATTGATCCGCAGCTCATGTCAAGCCCAGTACCCCCAAAACCCCCACGAGACTTTGAAGAGATGAAGGACAAAGTTGGAGAAAGATGCGAGGAAGAGGATGAGGAAGAGGTTGTCACGTCTCCTACCATCAAAGTCGGTGGCAAAGGGAAATCAAGGAAGGGTACCGTCCAGTCCGGCGGCGTTCAGAAGAAAGCGACGATATCGGCGGTCGTAAGGGATGTTGATGACCCAAGAGAAGATGGCGATGATTGGCGTCCTTCCCCCGAAGAATACAAGAAGATGTCCAGCAAAGAAAAGCGTCAACTTCGCAACAAGATCAGTGCTCGTAACTTCCGGGTGCGCCGCAAGGGTGAGATAATCATCTTTATACACTTATTTGTGGCTTACTCTGCCGTACCAGAGTACATAACGACCTTAGAGGGTGACATTGCAGAACGGGACCGCCTCATCGATGCCATCCGCAGCGAGCTCGGTTCGAGTCAGTCAGAGAACGCTGCGCTGAGGCAGGAAATCAGCGCACTCAAGAAAGCCCTCCTGGCCTCTGCCGACCGGGCCGAGTCTCCTGTACTGCCACCACCAGGTCCTATCCCCGCACTTGCCCCCGCTGCCCGTGCCAGTGCAAGCTCCGCGCTTGTCACCCCGAATACCCAAAAGGATCTCCCGTCATCACCTCATCTCGCTGCCTCACCGTCCAAAGCATTTTGGGGAGGAAGCACCGCCTTCGGCGGCATCACACCCGTACACACTACACTTATCCCAGAGAACTTTGTACATCCTCTTGCGAGTGTTAAATCGCTTGCCGGGGTGCGCGCACATAGTCCTACTCACAAGGATCATACCAACCCATCACTCAACTCCGGTAATGCTTCCTTATTTGCCAATCTTTACAAGGTTGGCCCATTCGATACGTTTGCCGAGGCCAATCCATTCACAATGAAGATGCTCGATGCGTATGTCCCATCTTCAATTTGTCTGAGATGAGACGCTATATTGACCGCCGTGTAGGTACTGGATGCAACTTTGGTCTCGCTTGGCTCAGATCCAACCGACCCAATCTCAGCAACAATCGCCTTCTGTCAATGGCTCGACCACTGGTCTCCGCCCGCATCACTTCACGTCACCGCGCATTCCTTCATCTTCTATTTCTTCTCTCCTTAGCGGGAAGCATACCTTTGCGTATCCGACACCACCCACATCTCCGAACCTTGGTTCTGCGCCTGCCCCGCTCCCGTCCTCGAAAGAAACGTTTACACCACAACAGGCCCTACTCGCCACGATGGTCTCACAGACGCTACTTCAGCGGCTCGATAGCGCTTTCTGGCAAGCTTTCGCAAGGGACTCATCGAGTGAAACAACCCCCTCTACCCACGCGCTGACATGGGATGCAGACAAGATCCGGCGCGTTCTCGAAGGGAAGGCAGTTGTTAAGATTGTCGACGTCGAGCCAGAAGAGAAGGTTGGACCTACACCAGTCGGCGCATCCATCCCAACGCTCTCCAACGGCTTGGGGACGCGGGAGTGCACGAAAGATTCCGGTCTCACTACCGTATTGGAGGACAGCATGCGCGCCTTGAGTTTGGGAAAGAAGTAATTGTCGTTCAAGTCGTGTTTGTCCCATCAACATCATGATACTCTGCCAGCTCTGTATCTCATCAACATTAGCATTCGCATCACTCCATTGCCATTCCGTCGTCCTCCTGCAGAGCTTCTCTTTCGTCTCGCATGTCACCTTGTCTTACCCTGAGCGTGTTCATTTTGTTATGCCCGCGCCGTCCTACATAGCAAACAACGAATCCATATCTAATATTCGCATAGTTGTAGCTCGCCGAAGTTTTCTTGGGCTGTTGTTAGTTTTCATTCAGGTGTATTCTTTTATGACCGCACCCGAGTAAAGGTCTTCTTTTACAATCCTTGGCGCGACTGCTGATAAGAGAGGGTGATGCATTCATTAAACCTTGTCCCTTGCGCTTGGGTCGCTCGGCTATTTCGTCCGGGCCATTCACATTCGTCTGTCCGCGTGATGCGCTGTTTGGTTCACGTATAGCCCATTCTTCGAATTCTGGACTCCACCCAGAGTCCAGTCATAGGAATCTAAATACCAGAAAGGATCTCCTCATTCACTCGCACGAGTGGACAATGGGCGCAATTCGAGTGAATGGAGCTCAATCCGCGGACCCGTCTGCATTCATGTCACGATACAGTCAGGTCTAGCGCACTGGGGGACAGGCGCAATTGACTATGCGGACGCAATTAAATTGGTCCAGTCTCACATTCTGTCGCATGACCACTTGGACAAACGAAGATTGGCGCTCACCCGAGCATGTTTTTCTACGTATTTAAACAAGGCGCCCAGCCTTCTCTCTGCCCCCTATCTCCCCCGACTTCCACCACCACCACCAACCCCCCTCCCTAGCACTAACTGCCTCCGACTCGTATCTATGATGATCTTTCGCATTCCCGCTGTCCTCCTTTTCTTGGCCCTCGGGGCATCTGCAGCGCCAGCAGTCGAGCCCCTGCAGGTAACGGTGCAGGAATCGAAGAGGGACGTATGGGCACCGCCGATCATCAATCCGCACAAGGGGACGATATGGCACATAGGCTCAACAGCCACCGTCAGCTGGTACGTATATGCATGACCTCGGGAGCTTTGCTTGCAAAACGTCAGTGTGGCGTGAACTCAACCCTCTCGCTTTCACGTGTGCAGGAACACGTCAACCCGCCCCATGCAGGTCACGAACCCCACAGGAACCCTTCTTCTAGGGTACCTGCGGTCTGACGGCGAGGGAGGCGAGAACCTCGATGTTGGTCAGTCGTCGCAGGCTCAGCTGGCGCATGTTTTTTTTCTGCCGTCTCATTATTTACGTCATCATGTTGGTTTGTTTCAGATCATCCCCTGGCGCAAGGCTTCCCTCTGAACGCAGGGAAGGTCAAGTTCGTGGTCCCGCGCGTCAAGCCTAGGCATAACTATATCGTTGCCCGTGAGTGTGTCTCCCCCCCTCTTCCCCTCTCCCCGCCATGATGATGTTCACTGGGTTTCGCAGTCATCGGTGACTCTGGAAATATTAGCCCAAAATTTACGATTGAAAAATGAATATATGCTACTCTACCATCTATTCTTTGCATTACACTTCTGACACTGTACTGTACTGGACATTGGACCCTATGATTTGGACATTGTATTTTTTAATGGACTTGATGTACCTTGTGATGTACAGCAAAATATGCGCCATATATAGCTGACCATGACCCTTACCCAGTCGTCCGGTGCATTACTACATCATGGGTGCCCTATGCGTCCAACAGTTGGGCACCAAAACTTCGTGGTCTCGCTCAACGGTGTGGGGGAAGCGCGATGATCGCCGCGCGCGCTGTAAGCAACAACCACTGCACTTTCCTCCGAAGGGGTGACTTTGAATTTTCAATGGCTCTAGAATGGAGTGGGTCTAGAAGACTTCAAAGCGCCCGCTTGCTGCTTCCGGGTCTGGGGTACAGTGGTGTTATATAATACGTTATTGTGCCGAAGCGACGAGCACACGCGTTCTCGGAGGCGGCTGAGGACCGCCGGCACTACCAGAATGTCTCCCTTGGTCGCAATAATGGGTCCTGGCCATGCTGTACTCGTGGACGTTTACCGCTTTATCCGTAATAACTTAGCGAGGACGGGTCACGGTATGGGTAAATGGTGGCAAAACAATAAAAATAGACTTCTGAAGGTCTTGCCAGGGTTCGAACCTGGGTTTCGGGAAATTTGAGATTCCAGATTAATCCAGAAGCAGTCAAAATCCCGAGTGATAACCACTACACTACAAGACCATATATAACGCGACTTAATTGCCCAATCACATAAGTGCCTTGTCATCACAATGGCACTCTAGCTCTGGATGGGGTGCTCCTGAGGTAGTGCTGAGGCGCCGAGGGCCTTCCCGAATAGATATACGCGACTTATCACGATCATGTGATAATGTTGGATTCGACGAGCATACAGGGGCAGACATAAACCCCATTCGAACTACACTTCTGTTCTGACTGTCATGTCAATGCGACGTATGCGTCGTGTCCAAGCAAATCTATTCTTCTGACCACCGGTCTCACTGCTCACTCCATACCCACACGCATACAACCACGACTCCACCACCTCCCTCGAGTCACCGATGTCCATACCTTTGACAAATGACAACCCATTGGAGCACCCCGCCTACTTTCGAGGACCTATCGAAACCATTGCCTGCTCGCATGGTGCCCTTGCTTCTGGCCGTCTTTCCCTTCATGACATCACCGAAGCATACCACACCCTGTCCTTGAGAATTAGGCATTCGTCTAACACCCTTACCGTCGGGGCAGCGACATTCCGAGCGCTCGAGCCGCTCAGGCAAAAATGTGCTGACGTGGCGGCGGCCCTGCGAAGGGATATCTCCTGGGCCTTACACGGTTCCGCGGCGCATTCATCCGAGAGTGTAGGTTGGGATCCGACCGCATACAACAAGAGTCGTGCAGCCGACCTGTCAACGCTGTGTCATTATGCTCTTTGCCTGTTGTCTGAGATATTTAGACTCCCGGTGCTTTCATCAGTCTTTTCGGGTACGTCTGGATTTGTTGGTATAATAATCGATCTGACGATCTTCCCAGCACAAGACCTCGGTTTTCTTCTAGAAGACGTCATTTCCATCGTTCGCTGTCCTCACCTTCCATCATTCAATGCGTCGAAGACTACCGTCCTTGCGTCCTGGATCGTCCGAACTCAAGAGCTTCCGAAAGCTATTCTACTTCCGCGAATAGAAGACATATTTTTATACCTTAAGTTTATTCTTGAAGCCACGGCCAGAGATACCTGTGTCAATGTAACTGTAGTGGATGTACTGAATGTGCGTCGACAACCTCTACAGCATATTACGGCGCTGACTTCGCATCCATAGTGTGTCACTAATTTATTGGTCTGCCATCAGCACATCTTCATATCGCGCCTAGCCGATCTCCTCCCTTCCATATTTCCTTTCATCATGCACTCGTCCCCGGAGTTTCGCCACCATGCTGCCACCGTCCTTGCATCTTTCTCCCAAACGCTTATCACCTGTAGAACACTTGTCGACGAGAAAACCATTGAGACTATTTGCTACCATACACACACTTTCCTCACGCCCGAAACAACACGCCACCCTACGTCGTCGCGGAAGCTCTCTCCGCTCCTTGATTCAGCAGTCTCATCAAAGAGTTTCGGTAATGTGGGCGAGAATGCACCTTGGGCGTTGACTGTCATCGCAAGCTTTTCTGTTCTCCTTGGCCCGTCACTTTTTTTGCATCGTGGCCCTCTAAAGCTCGTCATGACTGTCGCACAGAAGGCCCTAAGACATCGCCCGGGACGTGATCTCAACCCTCACGTTTGGCGCACCTTCATCTGGTCGATGACCCAGCTTCATCTACAACAGGGTCCGACTGCGGAAGTGGACGACGATATTATCCAGCGCTGCGTTCTTGTACTTAAGCAAGCAGTGCATGGTGGCCTTGGTACGGCTTTAGTCTGGTCGCTACTGGGGATGACCAGCAAGGACTCCCAGAACAAAGGAACGGGCACAAGGAGATGGGTCGTCTCTAGTACGGTCGAGATAGTGCGTGATATGCTGTCCAGCAAGTTGCAAGAGATTCGGGTTGAGGCCAGCCGGCTACTCGTACACCTCACATGCGAAGCTAGAATGTCTGAAGGCGCGCCGCAGGAAGCCGAGTGGACAGCAGAGCCTTTACTATCGCCTTTCCTTTTTGATGGCTCGCTTCTTCGTGCCGATAAATATCAGATCGAGGAGATAGTGAGTTCTACATGCGTCTTCTCACCACGGTGCCTATCCTCCGAAGAAATTTTGTCCCACTGGGAGCCACTATCGTCTTGCCTTGTTTTCGTCATCCAGCAATGTCTTCACGACTGTGACTCCGACTTAACGGTGCGTCTCTATACACCTCTACTAGTTCCATTTATCATGTATTGGCGCAGACCATCGTGCTCCCTGTGTGGCAGTCCCTTCTAGCCATTCGAGCTCCGCTGATCCGATCGGATGCTATCTCCATTAATTTTGGGCCACAGCTATCGTCCCTGCTTTCCCGATTCTTACCAGATCTCTCTATCCCTCTATCTGGAGATGCAGAGTCTGTCGCAATCCAACTGCAATCACTTGTTGTGTCAAGGCGCCTTTGGGCGGACGTCCAGGGCATCTTCCCGCGTTCCTGGTTGACCACGGTGGCTTCCTCTCTCTTAGTGGCCACTCTGCAGCGCACATTCCATCTTGCCGATCAGGACATACTCAGGGACTGGAGTCTACTGTGCTCAGCTCTAATTGTAGTCGGGATACCGAATGTGTTTGAATTGATTCCACACCAGGACGACGAACTGAATGCCCTAGAAATTAAAAGGCAGCTTTGGCGCCTAGTCGCAATACAGTACGTGGAGCAAGGACCTAGTAATTTCCGGAGTATCATCTCGGTCCTTATCCTTCCCATCCGGTGAGACGTTTGATCTCTCAAAAAAGATCGCTCTCATGCGTGGTGATGGATGCATCATAGTTCATGGAGCATGTCAGAAGATGATCTTGGCATCTGGGAGCGATTGTTCGAGCAGGGCCTCTCATCCGGGAGGGCGTCTATCGGGTCTGGCGATGTCGTTGACGACTTCGCTAGTAGATGCCCTATGATAGGCCCTAGGTATGCGACTGTACTCCGTCCGTTCTGATTGGCGTTGATGTGATCTAGTTTTCCTGTGGGCACTGCTTTGCGTATCGCTATTGCGATCCTTAGGCATCTGGACCTCCACGAGGGAGATCCCATTCCTGCTCGAACGTTTTCTTTCTTGAGTGCAATTCTCGTCGCCTCCTATCCTCCGCAGTCAAGTACGAGTGATGCGGTTTCCGCGCTTATTAAAGCCCTTCATCATATGATAATGTCTACTCCTGTTTCGTTACTTGAGTCAATCATCTCCGCTATTCAGACAGGGCTGGCTGTCTGGATAGAAGACAAGCGTTTCTCCCTGCAGGGCGAAACGTATAACGATATTGTCCGTGATTTTCTTTTCTTTTTATTCCCCTATTTCTTACCTAGTCTACTCTGCAGCTCATGCCTCTCTTCGAATCACTCCTTCAGCGTTTACAACAGCTCCCGCTGTCTGTGGCTTCTCTGAACGCCCTTTCCCCGCTCCTCACCTCTGCGTTCTCGCATATTCCACCACCGGCACGGGGACCAGCCGCGTTTCGACGCTTCTTTTGCGCAGTGCACCCCCGTTTTTCACCGCCGGTTCCCCCGTACAGCGACGATTTACGCGTGTGTATCGACGCTTGTATGCGTGGCTATGGTGGAGAGTGGCCATCCGACATGGTTCCACTTAGCTCGCAAACACAGACACAACTACATTTGTATTCCGAGACAAGGCTGCTGGTCGATCTGCTAGCAGAATCCGGGGTCACCAAGGATGTTGGACGTCTAAGTCCACATATGTTATCGATAGAGGTAAATGCTTGGTGCTTAAGTTCCCGGACCTATATTGAAGTAGGTCTCGCGCTTGTCGACTCATATGTAGCACGAAGTTGTACCGGACTCCCAGTGTGCTGCACTAAACGAGGTGGTGCCCGCTTCTCAACAAGTAAGAGTGCATCCCGCTCAAGGACCGCAACCTGTCAATTTGTCCGCTGGATCAAGATCACGGGACTACCAGGTGTCTTCCAGACCACGCAGCAATTGCTCTTTGAAGAGACGTCACGCACCCCAAGACACACCAGCTTCCAAGCGCCGTCGCGCAGGTCCAATTAACAATAGGCCGTACATACACCCATCGCCTCTCGTGCGCATCACCGACCGAGTTCCTCACTCACCTTCAACGCCGGGAACCTCCCCGCGCACTAGATCAGTCATGGACTGCGTTGAAGTGGCCCCTCTTGACGAAGTTCTGCGTAGAAGTGAGAGGGAAGCAAATAACCAGAGGCAGGAACTTGGTGGTGCGAACGACCAGTCAGGCTGGGAAATCATGGGTGCACCCAAGACACCTTTTGTGCGCAGGACGGTTCGGGAGCGGTTGGAGAGAGACGAGATTGGTAAGTTGCTTTTCATCCGCTATTGAGCGGTCCTAACCGCACATCCAAACAAAGTTCCCGAAACACCAGACGCGGTGCTGCGACAGATTCGAACGTCGCCATTGCAGGCGCATAAAGTAACAAGTGAGTGAAATCGCACTGCCCAGTAGGCGTAACTTTCTGACTGGACGCGACGCTGCAGATCCGGGTGGCCGGAGATCTACACGACTACTCGCCAGGGCGCGTGCCCCCTAGCGCTCATTAACGATATCGACGCGGCTGGCGGAAACATTACGCGACGTGTTCGCGTACTGGGGAGCTATCGCAGATACGTTGAGAAGCTGACATAGTCGGTGCAATACCAGGCGCGGCGGATCAACTGTTGCTACAGGTTCTGACCAGAAATGTGATGGCAGAACCAATACGTGTTTGGTACGATATCTGGTAGTCTTCCATTAACGGAGATTTGGTTGGTGCAAGAGGTTGGGTATCACAGCGTTAGAAGAGACAAACGCAAGCCGTAACAATCACACATGACACATGACTTAGCGGCATAACTTGGGCAAGAGTGACCGTGTAGCCCAGTGCATCTTTCCCACTTCCACATCAATAATTGCCACACGTATTTGCGAAAAGCTGTGCCCCCGGACGGGCAGGTTGTAGCCTGTAGGGCACTTACGGCCGATAAATATATCGCTTTCCAGGTACGAGTTACTGCCTTCGCATCTTCCATCCACTGGCATCGGTGATGTCACTGCTGCGACTCTACCC